CGTCTGTGGACTGGTGGGGACTGACCTGGGCAGCAGCCGTTTCTTCATCGTTTACTAAGGAAGGTGCTTCTGTCCCTCAACAATACAGAGCAGTGTTTATGCATGTTTTTAAGCCTTATATTAATATGAGCATATTATGACTGGACTTCCGCGTCTAGCCGTGCTGAGCCTGAGAGCGGTGTGTGTTGACAGGTGCCCGTGTATTTCTTTTCACCCAGTTACAGTAATATAATTATATCATCTATAACTATATAGAAAAATGTAACCACACCACAATTTACAAAAAAAGAAAGAAAAAGAAAAAGAACGAGGCCTCGGGAGCTGGACTGCCTGCTGGCTAGGTCCCTCGCTAGCAGCTTGGCTTTCGGTAAAACCCTTAATCTCTTTGTGCCTCGGGGCTTCCATCGGGAAAGTAGGACCCCCAGAAGCAGGCCTATCTGAGGGTTTAAATGAGAAAATTCACTGAGTTTCACTGTGGTGTGTGGCGGGGACAGGGACCTTCATGGGGAGAGGGCCACTGCCTCAGGGCTCCTAGGTTCCCCCTCCACCTGCTCACAGCCCTTGGGGGTTTGGGGGGCGATCAGAGCCTTGGCCCAGTCCAGGCTTCCTGGGGGTCCTGGCTGGGCCTGGGGGACCATTTTTTGACCAGGATGTGATGGAAGAGGGTCAGAGGGGCGGCTCAGGCATGACTTGGACACACCTTTACCGATGGTCACTTTTAGTCTCTGATATCCCTTTGAGGTCATTACATATTTTTTTAGCCAGGAAATGCCTTGAAACGCAGCTACTCACAGGGAGGGGGAAGGGAGGGCTTTCCATAAATCAGGAAGCCATGGGGGACAGGCACCGGGAGAGGCACCGGGAGAGGCACCAGGAGAGGCACCGGGCCAGACCGTGCCGATGGATGCAGAGGGCCTTTACCTTTTCACTCCTTGCAGGATGTGTGGTGGTCACTAGGGCACGACAGGGAACAAGAAACACACATGCCCGCCCTCACGGATCTTCTTACAGAAGGACAGTGAAACAAGCAGGTATAGCCAAGTCACTGAGGGTTGTGATAGGCACGGCAGGAGTCGGGGGTGAGCCCCCACGGCAGGAACCTTCGTTAGGCTAAGAAGTCAGGGAAGGCTTCCTGGAGGAGGCGACCTCTGTGCTGATGCGGAGGGGTTGGCCAGGAGAACGGTAACGGGGCACAGCTAGCGCAGTGGCTCAGAGGTGCAAGGGAAAAGGTTGCATTGAGGATATAAGAAAGTGTGTGGCCAAAGGTGCTGTGGGGGGAGGGGAGCGAGACTAGGGGAACCAGCCGTCTTTCAGGAACTCCTTAAGTCTTTCAGGAAAACAAAGACAGACAAGATGCCTGTGTCCGCCCCTGGAACTGCAAAAACACCAGATTCCTGTGACAACAAGCCCAGGTTACGTGAAAAACTGGATGATCCAGATCATCTGGCAAACAGCTGGTGCTCAATAATGTTAATATTTGTCTTCCTATTTGCTTCCTTGCCTGCTAAAGCAATCAACGGCATATCTGAGCCATTAGAAGGCCTCAACACCAGCGTGCTTCAGAGAAGCGACGCAGCAGTTCTTTTCAACTCCATTCAGTGAGAATTCCAAATGAATTCATAGACAGCTAGCCGGGCTAAGGTTGACCTTTATTCTGCCTGCAAAGAACGAGAATGAAGAGGGTCAAGCTAAGTAATGGAAAGCCTATTTATCCCAGTTACAGAATGTTCGCAAGCCTTTTAACAGCATCTTGCAGGTTCTGACAAGTCATTCTTACTGAATGCAAGGAACACCATACTTTGTCTTCCTGGCTGCTCTGTCAGTCAGGATAGGCGAGGTCATGCTACAGTAACAACTAAGCTCAGACTCTCAGGGCCTTAAAAGCACAAAGGTTTGTTGCTCCAACAGAAATTAGCTGGAGCTCTTTCCAGGGCTGGAGGCCCTGAGGCATCTTCACTCTGGGGCTCAAGATATTGGTGCCATTGTTTCCTGGGAAGTGGCCAGAGACTGGGCCAGAAGGACTAAAAGTGTTCTTACCATCAATTGGATAGTTTGAGCCATGAGACACATGTCATTTCCACTGCCAGCTCACTTGCCAGAACTGGTCGTTTGGCCCCTACCAACCCCAAGAGGCAGGAAGAGTGCCCCGCCTCTGTACCCAGAGAGCAGCAAGCCAGAAATACTCAGGGAGCTTGAGACCACAGTCCCCAACTTGAACATGAATAAGCTCTCCTTCCTGTCCAAGCCGAAGACTCAGACTCCTTGCCAGTCTGGCTTTAATGAGTGGGGATTCATGAGTTTTGATCTTGCCAAGTTCAAAAGCAGTTTAGAAAAGTTACATCAACTTAAACAGCATCTATTAGCTCAGGGGGAAATATACAAATTATTCTTATCTGCTTAATGACACTGTGACATGTTTTCACCCTACTTTAGTGAAAACAAAGATGATTGCATTTATTTATAGAAATCCTGTAATTCCATAGTCTTGTTTGGGCATCCAATAACAAAGGCCAATGGAAATAGGATGTTTCAAACCCTTTGGAAACATCCATTGCATAATCATATGTTGCATTTACCCAGAACTCACTATGAACATGTCATTTTTCTAAGTGTTTACCAAAGATTATCTATGACATCTTCACCCACGTGGTGAGTTGTTGTTATTCCCACTCTACAGAGAAGAATACCGAGGCCCAGAGAGGTTAAAGAATTTGCCCAAAGTCACACAGCCAAAGAGCCCCACAATACATTCTGCTCCTGTTTGCTGACAAGCAAGATGCTTGCCACAAATAATTTTTTTCTGCCCTCTGGAGGCAACAAATTCCTGGAAGGTAGGAGAGGGGCTTCGCTTCCCAAATGTGCACCACTCTGGGACCCTCCTCTCTTCCGAGGCAGGCCTCCCTGAAGACTGGTGAGAGTAAGCACGCGGGCCTGGCTGCTGAAGTGTGCGGTCAGCTCAGGAAAGGCCAGCTGGCACCGGATATTTTCTGAAATCCCAGCAGCTGAAACAGTACCCAAGAAAGCACGTGACTGAACCGAAGTGAACCAGGCATGTGCTGCTGCACACCCAGGAACAAAGCATGTGCATACACATGCACGCTGGAAATTCCCAGCCATTCATGTCTGCCTGGCCTCGCTCTTCCTGGGGCGTGTTCAGGGAACTAAGCCCAGGAGAGAGGGTGGAGGACCCAGTGGAAAGGCTGCAGGTAGAAGCTGCTCAAAGGACCCTGCGAACCTTGGGTGAGTGAGAGTGGGGGAACCTGGTGCAAGGGGGGCTCTAAAACTTCAGCTAGGCACCAAATCCCCGAATTTGGCGAGCACTGCAGGGCAGTGGCAGGGAGAGAGAAGAGGAAAAAGGCAAGAAAGGGGGTAACGGCCTGAAGGTGCGGATGGCCAGCCCGCTCACTCTGGAGTCTGAATTCAGTAGGTCTGCAATGGGGCTCAGGGATCTGTACTTTGAAGAATCCGTGGCTCCAAGTTTCAGAAGCAATGGTTAAGCTTCAAGTTCTGGACAAAGAGCGGGGGTCATAGCTTAGCTCAGTACGTTGCACATCATGCGGGAGCTTTATTGTCATCATTCTTATGGCGGGGACCCTTGTACAAAAAGAATTTGGCACATCGCCTGGCGTGCAGTAAACAGGAAACAAACCACGGCTATCATCATCATTATCATCGTCATCGTCACCATCATCATCAATATCTGAGTCCTGGTAGTTCTGGCACAGATTTCAGAAGACCTTCAAATCTCTGTACCCTCTGCATTAATTGTGGGGATCGCTTCAGCTGAAGTTGAGCTCTCTAACTGAAAGAGCAACTTAAACACACAAATGCCCCCAGATCTCTGGGGAATGGCTCTGGAATGAGCCAGAAGGAAGGCTCTGCCCCTCCATCCTCTTCCTGAGCAGCAGAAGTTTTAACCTTAAGAATATTTTCATTTCAAAGCCCCTGCTGGTGTTTTGCTGGTGTTGGGAAGAGGTTGGGGGAGGGGGCTGGAACCTTGCCTTGGGCAGAGCTCCCTGCTCGGGGTGGGAGTGGGCAAGAGCAGGCAGCACTGTCTTTGGGGTGGAGGGGACAGCGGAGACCTGGGGTCTCGTCCTAGCCAGCCCCATGTCCAGGGGCAGCTGCAGTCCAGGCCCCGCCCACCAACATCTTGGGGGGAGGGGGACAAACCTTTTGAGTCACCTGAGAGAACATAGGAAAGAGGGTTTATGTGTGTAATTTCCTGATTTTTACACGTTGCTTTTAATTTTTAAAAACATTACATAGACATAGGATCTAAGATGTTGTTGATTGTAAGACATTCCGATATTTAATGAACTAAGAAAAAGAGAACTTCCTTTAACTATGACAAGCCATTGATTGCAAGATTCCCCCTAATTCCAGAGATGTCACAATGTAAAAAAAACGTGCCTCGTGGAGCCCCTGAAGTACCGTACGGCGATAGACTGGAGTCGACCTGTGTCACCTTGTACAGTCCCCAACCCACACGACCGCTCACAGCAGCTCTTATGACACCACCCCAGGACACTGGAGGGCTTAGGGGCTGCCCAGGGGTTCACACTTGAGTCGCATCCCTGAAGACCCAAGGCTGTTGAGAAGTAATCCCATTTCAATCTTTATCTGGGCCAGAAACGAAGTAATCAAGGCAGCAAAGCAGGAAATGCGGCGCGGCTGGCCCCCAGCGTCACCAGGTCTCCAAGCTCCGTAGGCTTGTGGCAGGGCGGCAGGAGGGCTGCTTCGTAAGGGATTCTGATTCCTGCAGGGGTGGGAACCCCCCCGCCTGCGCTCATCGCTCATCGAGGCCTGGACAGGCGAAGGCACCGCCCAGCGTTGCGCGGCCAGGCAGAGCCGGGCCAGGCCAGGGTCCCTTCCCCTGCTGACGGCAAAAGTGCCTGGCACCCCGCCCCACGGGGACTGGAGACAGGGGTCTCCAGGGGTGACCCAGGGGGTCTCGTCCTCCCCCTCGTTCCATCCTTCCAGAGGCTCCTAGAAAGAGCACCTTTGTTTGATTCACAAGACTTTTCCATTTTATTAGTAAAATACAAAATGGCACAGACATTGATGATAGGGGTGGAAAAGCAAAAGGATCAACCAGCTCCTAAAGCCCTCCCCGAATTGTTCTTGTCCGTATCCTGCCAGGGGGGCGAACAAAGTCGCGGAAAGGGGCCAGCTGCCCCAGCTGCTTCTTGACAAAGGAGGGGAGCCCCACCGTGGGTACCCCAGCCCTTGAAGGCTCCCAGCTGGCAGGAGCCAAAAAAAGTGCATTCAGATCTGCTGTCCCCCCCAAAGTGCCCCCTCCATTCAAGCCAAGTCCAAACAGGGGGTGTCGTGCCCAGCGGGGGAGCGCAGGGGGCCCAGTCCTTCCTTTGCTTCCTCGAGCATCATCTGCGAAGGAATGTGTCACCTGTACCTGGAGGAAGCCCAGCCCCTGGGAGGTTTCTCAGGTGGAGGGCAGGCATCAGCCTTGGGGACAATCAGAAGGAGGTGGGGCGCTGCCACCAGGGACCCTGAGGGGCGAGGCCTGCAGGTCCAGCTCTGCCAGGGGGCGTGGGCTAGCCGGTCAGCCTCCAGTCTCACCCAGGTCCGCCTGAGTCCTCAGCAGCCAAAAAGGAACCCACGACCTCCGCTTCCCTTCCCCAACGGGTCCCTCTCCCAGGACAGAGTTCCTTTCAGAAAGAAACACGGGAAGCTCTGAGCTTACAGAAAACACCATGGACGTTTCTGGCCCTGCCAGTCGTGGGGAGAAGATGGTGTGCAGAGAACAGTGTTTTCTGGGAGCCAGAGAGGGCGCTGGGGACAAGTAGAAAGACCGAATGCTGGACTCAAGTCCAACATTCAAGTCCCAACATGGAGTGTGACCGTGCCCCGCAGCTTCTCCCTGGGTCCTTCTGTGGAGTGCCTCAGCCTCTCCCCGGGCCTGCAGGCCTCGCCTCCTTCTTCAGCCTGTCACATGTCCCCAGGGCTGTCTCAGTGTCCCTGTGAGCCTAGTGGACAGAGAGGGGCTGTCCTCACAGTCAGAAAGGGTCCTTTAAAGCCAGTCTCTGCCCCACAAGTACCCCAGCCCGAGCCCCACTCTGGGGGCCCACGGTGCTGGCTCCCTCCTACGGGGCAGGACTGGGCGGCCAGGCCCTCCGGGCGACAGCCCGGCCCACGGGCTGGTAGGGAACGGTGAAGGCGCTCTGCTGAGGACGGCTGTGCGGCTGCACCAGGGTCTGGGGAAAGGGACCTCGGGACCACTTAGCGATGACGACTGTCGGGGGTACAGGCTATTGCCACCTATCTGCTGTCCCCCTTCCCTTTCACAGGTGGGAAGCCACAGGGACGGACGCCCCGTCGGGCCGATAGTGGGCCCTCGGACTAGCGCCCCGGCTTCCCACTCAGAGTCCGTATTCCTTCTCCGTTACAGCACAGACCGAGGAAGGAAAAAGACCCAAACCACTGGTAGCTGCATCTCCCCTTCCCGCGGCGCTGACTGAGGGTGGGGCCTTCATGGGGCGCGGTGCCAGCAGGCACCGCACCCCCTCATGCAAGAAAAGACAGGCCCCCTGCGGGGGCGTGGGCTCTGTACAAGGGACAGGGGAGATAGCACCGCAGGTGGCGGGTGACTGGTGACGGCAGCAGGACCAAGAGACACAATGAGGTTGGAGGGGGTGGGCAGAGGACCTGGCCTGAGGCTCACTGTGAGGTGGGATGACCGTGGTACCCCCACGGGGACACGGGCCTGAGGGGCTGAGCATTCAATAAATAATTGTCACTGGGGCTGGGACGGTGTCGAAGGAAACCTCTAACCAGCCAGCAGCAGAAGAGAATTTTCCGACTCGGGGACATTGGCATGAGTGGCAGAGGCCACTCCCTCTGTTTCCAGTAGGTCAGGGATGGTCAAGGGGACCTCCCGGGGCCTGCCTGGGAAGTGGGGGCAGCTGATCCCACCCGGAGGGTCCCGCCTCCTTGCTTGGGTCATCCCGGCTCAGGCCAGGCCCTCGGGTGAGGGGAGGACTGAGGAGGGGGCCCCAGGCAGCTGTTTGAGTTGAACATCTGGACACAAGCAGGTGGGCGGTTCACACTGGCACCAGGACGTAGGAGTTACTGCCGCAGCTCCGAGGGACATGCCGAAGCCCTTCTACCATGTCTCCTGCCATGTTGCGGGGACAGCCCTGTAGGCTTTGATAGGCAAACATGGCCACCCCCAGGCCAAAGAGGAGGCCCAGGAAGGCCAGTAGCCCCACTGCCTGCCTCCTGGTAGCTGCCCCGGAGTCTGGAGGCGGGGTATTGGGGAGCCCATGCCTCTGGTGGCTCACAGTGGCGTGGGTGGGCTCCTTGGTCTTGGGGTCCCCACTGCTAGAGGTCGCTGGCTCCCTGCTGGGGGCCCCTTCAGAGGAGAATGGGGCCACAGAGACATGGGGAACGCTGCCAGGCCCCGTGAAAGCACCTGTACGAACTGAAATGGAACCTTTCTCCTTGGACGCTAGAGAGTCCTCTGGTGTGGGATCCTGTCCATCGATCCGCACGGATTGTCCTTCAGACCCAACACTGTCCGCTGGGGCTATGTGTGAAATAGAGGGGGCCTGCGTGGGGGGGGGCTGGGTGCTGAGGGCCTGGGTGAAGGCGGTCTGGGTGGAGGGGGCCTGGGTGGGGAGGGCCTGGGTGGAGGGGGCCTGGGTGGGGGGGGCCTGGGTGGAGGGGGTCTGGTTGGAGGAAGCCTGGGTAGAGGGGGTCTGGGTGGGGAGGGCGTGGGTGGAGGGGGTCTGGGTGGGGGGGGCCTGGGTGGGGGGGGCCTGGGTGGAGGGGGCTTCAGAGGCCTTGCCCTCAGTCCAGAGGTCCGACCCAGGTTGGTAAGCAGAAGAGCTCTGCCAAGATGTGGCGCTGGTGGCGAAAGTGGTGCTGAAAATCTCAGTTCTCTCGGGCCCAGCCAAAGGTCCTCCGTCCAGAGCCTTCGGAGCAGCGGGGGACCCGGTCCCCCAGGAACCAGCCACTCCGGTAGGCAGCTCTGGGGAAGTCCCCAAGGCCCTTGGTGCCTGCTGGCTATTGCTTTCGCCTGGGGCTTTGGGCTCTGAGCCCGCAGACCTGTCCGTGCCCCTGGCAGCAGGGGTGGTCCTGGGCTCACCCACAATCTTCTCAAATGTGCCGCCGTTCTGAACAAGAGCAGCAGCCTTCTCGTCTAGGTACTTCATGGTTTTCTGGACCCATTCTTCTGCTGGGTCAGCACAGAAGGTTCTGTTTTTTATGGTCTTCAAGCTACAAGGAAGGAAGACAAGGACCCAGTTATGGCCAGAAGCCACGTGGAGGAGGGGGTATCACGTGAATGCTCTGCGTGTGAACAGACCAGTCTGGACACCCTGCCCCACTGCCTCCTCGCTGCAAGCTTAGCTGGGGTAGCTCAACCTCTGGAACTCCTGTGTCCTCACCTGAAAAGCGGAGGTAAGATACCTACTTGCTGTAAGGTGACAAACCATCCCAGAAAAAGTGGGATTGAGGGGGTTCTTGAGAGGCAGGCAAACTGGGACAAGGCTGTCACCCTGCTTCTGTATTATTATAAACAACAAAAAGTATGTAAATCGCCTGGCTCAGAGTAGGAGATCAGTAGTACTAGCTGAAAAGAATAACAATGCTAATAATATTGTCCTGGCCATTAAGGCAGGGGCTCTGGGCTGAGTGTTTGGACTGGGAGGAGAGGTCACAGGTGTCCTCTGCCACCAGGTATGTGACTGGCAAGCTCCATGGTGGGACCGCCTCACTCTGGAGAGGACCCAATGTCACAACGTCGTCTTCCTCCTCTCCCTCAGTTACAGCCTGCCCTCTGGACCTCTTCCCTTCTCTGCTAGTGTGTGGCTTCAAGTTAAAAGGACACCTAGTGATGTATATGGTAGGCTCATTGGCACCCCGAGTGCCACCCAAATCTTGAGCTTCCGCTGAAATTGTGTGTGGCTGGTTCTCTGCCGAGACCTCAGCTCAGAGCTGACTGGGGCCCTTGCTCCATGCCCTGCCGTGTGCCGGGCATTTTGCTTTTGCCTGTTTAAACCTCTCATCCCTCCGGCGAGGACTCCATCACACCCCCATTTTGCAGAGGAAGAAAATCAAGGCTCAGAAAGGTAACGTGACCCGGCAGGGGCAGGCCCCGCGGGCGCCAATGCGGCCCCAGGGCTGACGCCCCTCCCTGGTCCTTCCTGCTTCCCTTTCCCCCAGGAAACGGAGGAAGCAAATACGTGAGGGAGCCTGGGGGAAGCAAGCCTGGTGGGTGAGCTGAGACGCCAGGCACACTGGCCCCTCTCAAACAGCTGCACAACCGAAGGGCCGGTCGATGGGAAGTGCACGGCTGCCTCCTTTAGCTGAGCCTCCACTTCAAAGGTTCCCTGACCATTTCTTGTTGTCAGGCCTCTGGGTCTGGCTGCGCTGCTTTAGGGCCCCAAGTTCGGTCCTGGAGAAAGGCCTCAGGGCTGGGCCACTGGGCAGAACCAAGAGGCACCCCAGGGGAGCAAGCAGCCAAGATGGCAGCCAAGGGTCCCCACAGCCATGGAGGGAGGTGGCTTGGCTGGAGTCTCCTGCCCGAAGTCTCCTAGAGGTCCTGCTTTTTTGCCGCCTGGAGAAGTTAGTCTCTGCCGCTCATTGTCAGCAGCTTCTGGGCACCCTGCACGCACGTCAGTTATCTTATCTCCATTCATCCTCCCAATAAGCCATCTTACAGAGGGTGGGCAACGTGAGCCGGGCCACCCAGCCTGCAAATGATGAAGCCAGGATTCTACCACATCTGCTGGGTGCCGGGACCAGCCCTCCGAGACCACCGTGCTTTACCTCCCCGTGAAATCCACTTGGCTCCGGAGCTGCCTGGGACACAATGGTCCAGGAGAAATGGCCGCGCTTGGTAGCTGCTCCGGGCCACAGGCCATGCAGGAAGCAGCTCCTCACCTTGCATGTGGCACAAGATCAAGGTCAACAAGGGGGTCAGCAGGCCAGAAGCAGGATAGTATTGGCTGAAGCCCTTAGCCAGGAGTCCAGGTGGGGGTGGGACGATGTGGATGTGGGTTAGCAGAAGCCTGGGACCATCCCCAGGGTCTGAGAGGGGCGCAGAGGCTGAGAGGGCAGTACCTACATGATGGCGGGTTTGTCGCAAGATGCTTGATTGCGTTGATAGCTGATGAGACGCTCCATGGGGATCTTCGGGGTCATGTTCTTGCATAAGGTGATGCATTTATTCACACCGTGGTGCTGTCCTGAGCCCACAGAGGTCCCCGGTCAGCAGGACTGTCCAGGGGCATCTGGCTCCCCAGCCCCATGACAGCCGCGTCCCAGCCACACCACCCAAGAACCAATGCCCTGCACACCTGGCCTTCAGGGCCCTTGACCTTGACCTCCCACCCTGCCACCCCCCCACCCCCAGCCCCTTCTCTGGCCAAACCTCTCTGTGCCTTAGCGTCCCCACCTGTAAAATAAGGACAACGATAACATCTACCTCACAGGGTTGTTGTGATAAAGCTCTTATTACCTGGCACATAGTAAGTATTTAATTTTAAAAATTAAGTTGCTATAGTTGGTCTGTTGTAAACAGAGAAGAATGTGAGAGTGACAGGGACCTGCCACACAGCCAGCAAGTGACAGAGCAGGCTCTCCTACTGGCCTGGCTCCCACCGTCGGCACTGGGTCTGTGGCGCTGCATCCCCCTCTTGCCTGCACCCCATTAAGTCGCTGACTCAACTACCCCCGACAACAGGCACATCCCATCCCTCCCTCCCAAGCTGTCCATAGTCATGGATTTCCACGACCTCCGAGACACACCCAGACCTCTCGCCATCCACATCGCGCATGCCTGCCTGTGACACACACACGCGCACGCACGCACACACACCAACACACACAGCACCGTGTATATGTACACCCTTACACACAAACACATAAAGGCATACATACAACCAGGCACAGGTGGCAGGTACTAAAATAAAATTTTTTAAATGTGTAAGTACAACTGCCATTTAAGGACAGTGGGCAGGGGCCCTGCTCAGTAGATCACCCTCTGTTCTGTCAAGAGCCAGGGTGAGTTTGGGGGAAGATGCTGAGAGGAGTGGATGAACTGGCCGCTTGGAGGTCACGGGGCAAGATGCCGGGGCACAGGAAGGAGGTGCATGGGTGGGAGTACAGTCCGGGGTGTGGTCTCAGCTGGCTCGCTATCCCAGGACAGGATGAGGCTGACTCAACAGACAGTTGAGAACCCAAATATTTTTTAAAAAAGATAGGCACTATATTTATTTATTTACTTTTGAGAGAGGGGAAGGAAAGGAGAGAGGGAGAGAAACATCGATATGAGAGAGAAACATCAGTCAGTTGCCTCTTACACACACCCTAGCAAGGGAACGGGCCTTCAACCCAGGCATGTGCCCTGACCGACAATTGAACTGGCAACATTTCACTTTTCAGGATGACGCTTAACCCACTGAGCCCCACTGGTCAGGGCCTCAAATATTTTATATAAACATTTGAGGTTGTTTGCATGGCACTTCTGCCTCCCACTCTCCCTGAAACCTTCAGTAAAATTGACTGCTTGGTGAAAGCTGGGCAGGGGTATGTAAAAAAATGAGGAAGACAGTGAGTTTCGGTTCTGGGTCAAGGTCCTATGCGGCAGAAGCAAGACCCTGGAAGGTTTTGTAAAAGTCCAGAGGCCAGAACTTCCACGGCAGTGGAGTAGACAGAGCAAATGGATCTTATTTAGCTCTGCGGGGCTTTACATCCAACTCATCACTGGGCTCTGCCCACCCGCACACGACTCCTGCACGGATCCATGCATGTGGACAAGCAGACATGCACTCGTAGCTCCCAGGGTGGGCGGGGGTAGGGGGAGCTCCCAGCAGCTGGGCTCTGAGTCATGGGCTGCCTTTCACTTTCAGGAACCAGGATGTGAAAATCCCCTTTGCTGCCTCGTCTCCCCCTTCTCCCCAAACGGGACCTCGGGATCACTCAGCTGCAGCAAGCCCAGGTCCTGCTGAGTAGATTCAGGAGGCAGCCCCCTGGGCTGGGCTGGCAGGCGTCTTCCTGGGAGAAGCCCCAGAGCAAAGGTGCCCCTGGGTGACCGGGAGCCAGGGGCAGCTGCCCAGTAGGCAGGAGGGATCAGCTAGGTAATGTCAGTTTGTTCTCTGGACTCAACTTCCCAGGATGGGGAAGGCCACTGCGCACCTCTGGAGCCACAAAGTCTGCCTGTCCCCGAAGTCCCCACCCTCTACCACGGCGCCTGAGTGCTCTTGGCCGGGCCCTGATCTTGGCCCTGCCCAGGGAAGGTTGTAAAACTGACCTGAGTGGATTTACTTAGAACTCAATTTTCCTTCCTGTAGGTGGAGATAATGCCTCCCTCCAGCCAGTCATTGTGATTTGTCACATGAGATTCAAGAGGGCAGGAGCTTGTCTGTCTTGGTGTCACAAAATTTTCCAGCGCAAGGTAGAGACTCAATAAATATTCACTAAATGAAATAATGTCTCAATCTCATCCCTTCACCTATTCATCCATCTATCCATCCATCCATCCATCCATCCATCCTTCCATCCATCCATGTCTTCATTCAGTCAACCTTGCTTGAATTACTTTTGAATGACTATGAAGACCCAGGTCCTCTTGTCCTTAACCCTGAACTCTCTCTCCCACAGGTGCTGGTGCTGAGCTTGGAGCGATAATCCCAATCCCAATAAATGCTACCAGGCAGCTGTGTTCACTCAGCCAACCAACAAATGCCTACCCACGGTCTTGCCGGGAATAGTGGGGTGAACAAGACCCATCTCTGCCTTTGGGAGGCTCCCGTCTTGGCGCGCAGCTAAAACACGCCCGCAAAGTATCAGAGTACTTCTTATTTGAGCCCCTACTACGTGGTAGAGCCTACGCTTCGCGCGCATGAGCACACGCACACATCTGCTCTCATTTCTTAACATCCCTGCAAAGGGAGTATGATTATCCCCATTTTACAGATGCAGAAGCTGAGGTGATATCAGAGAGGTTAAATGACATGCCCACGGCCACACAGCTGCTTAGCGGCAAGTCTAGTTGTCCTCCCAGGCCCTGGATATCCCACGTTGCCAGGCTGCCTTAAACGCCAGGTCGAAGCACCATGTTGCAAACCACATCCCGGCTGCACTGGGTTTTGCATGAGGGAGAGACCACTTCCAATAGCCAGCGATCAGGGTGGCTTGGAGGAGGTGCCCCTACAGCAGGCCCTCCAGGACGACTAAGGGGCTTACAGACAGGCAGAGAGAGGAATGTTAGAGGGAGGAGACAGAGAGAGGGCTCGAGCCGGTGCGAGGTGTCAGTTGGGGACGAGTCACTTAGGCTTTCTGAGCCTCGAGTCCCTTCCCTGTCAAATGGGCACGATAATGCCTGCTTCTCAGGGTGGCTGCGAAGGGTCATGACTTTTAAATATCTGGACCCTCAGTGCAGGGTTTTCTCAACGGCAAGCACAGTTGATGTTTTGGACCAGAGAGTTCTTTGTCTTGGGGGCTGCCCTGTATCCCACAGAATGTTTGGCAGCATCCCTGGCCTCTGCCCTCGAGGTGCCTGAGTGCCAGCCACCGACCAAAAATGGTGGGACATTTGTAACAACCAAAAACATCTCCAGAAATTGACAAATATTCCCTGGGAAGGTAAAGCTCCCCCTTGGAGGACCCCCTGCCCGGAGAGACCCACGCGCCACAGAGACCCACGCGCCACGCGGGCGTCCCCGGGGGCTCCCTTGTCAGGAAGCCTTCCCTGAGCCCTTACTTAACATTCCAACACCTCCGCCTCCTTCCACCCCTCCTTTTTTTTTTTTAAACCACAGCATTTTTTTTTTCTTCCTAACAGATCCAATTGTTTATTGATTTATTCTGTGTATTGTCTGCCTTCATCCGATCGATGCTCACTCCACGAGGACTGGGACCTTGGGCAGTTTTACTCATTGATCTGGTCTCAGCACCAAGAACAGTGCCTGGCGCACGTAAGTGCCCGATCAATATCTGTTGAAGGAATCAACAAAATGGCCCTTTGCCGGTGTGGCTTAGCAGATTGAGCACTGGCCTGCGAACCGAACCATAAGGAAATCAACAAAATGCATAGAGAAGCACTTTGTGACATAGAAGATCTTAACGAATGGAGAAATAGAGGAATTTTTATTTAAATTCGACAGGGGCCTAGGAAATCTGACACCCTGAATTTCTCCTCCCCTGCCTTTCCTATCTGTGCCCACCTCAAAACAGGGGGCAGACTATAGCAGCTGAAAGCAAATTTTTTTTTTCCTTTCTTGCCTGGGCTTGAGTGGGAGCGAATGCGTCAGTGCTTGGAGAGACAAATTCTCTGCTCTGACTTGTAGATACAAGTTCCATACTTGTTACATAAAGCAGAGGCACCTCCTGCCTGAAACAGCTCTGCAAACCCACATTGGGGAACTGACGTAGCTGCCTTGCACAAGCCAGAAGGGCAGGTGTGAAGACCCCGGCCCCCCGCTCAGGGCGTCTCTGGCTTGTGGACCACCCCCTTGTCTTGCAGGGGCTCCCAGGGGGCCTCTGGGAGCCATAAATATCAAGTGAGCGTAAGGACCTCTCAGGGGGGGCCTAGCTGAATGCCCATTTTTACAGGAGGAGAAACAGAAACTCAGAAAGGTTGAAATAGTGCAAGTATCTCCCAGCAAATTCAGTGACCAAGATTAGGACAGGGGCCCGATGGCCCTGAAGCCTTAGACTGCTAGACAGAGCATCCAGGGTGCCCCCGGGGTCCCCTCTCCACTCTAGAGTAGGAGCCCCTGCCCCCCCCCCCCGCTCCCCTGCCCCCAACGGCTTAGTATAATCTTCCTCCTCATTCCGCTTCCCAAGTACCCAGAGATGCAGTAGCGGGGACCAAAGAAGGCAATACGCCATTTGGGGTCATGGCAAAGCATCTGCATCTGACTCCCCTCTTCGAGGGCTCACTGTCCCCAAATACCTTGGGCCTGTGTTCAAGCCCAGGAAGCAGGAAGCCAGCAACACCGGACCTCTGCCACCTCAGCCACTGCCACCACCATCTCCTTGCCCCCTTCCTTGCACCCCCCCGCCCCCGCCCCGTGGGTTTTCCCCACACAGAGGGACCCGGAAGGCAGTCTGCTCCACGGAGCTGTTCCGGAAGCTGGGAAGCGGTTCTGTTTGCCCAGACGCACTGTGTGCCCTGAGGCAGGCTGCCGCCCTCTCTGAGCTCCAACGTGCTAGGCAGCCTAGACACTCCCTGAGGACGGGCGACTCAGACGATTCTCATTCTCTTCTCATTCTCATTCTCGTGTGGCCCACTGAGGGGGTGAGCGTGCATCCCTGCTCCCTCCCGCATCCAGCCCTCCCCGCTCCTCCCTGCTGGCCGGCTCTGCCACCTCAGGCCAGTTTCTGAACCTCTTTGGGCCTCCATTTTAGTCACAGCCGGAGGGATGGCTCTATCATGCCTCCCAGGTCCCAGGCTCCAGAAAGTGACAGGAGGTGCGAACATTTTCCAAGCGTCGTTGGGAGGAGGATGACGGTGCCATGGGGGAGACACGGCGGGGGGGTTTGGGGCTGCAGACCAGAGCAACAGTGACGAGCCTTCTCCGAGCTGCAATGACCTTGACTTCCACTCATCCCGGGGCCCCCAACTGCTGCTGTGGCTTTGAAATCAGGGCAGGAGGGAGTCCTGACTGTGACCTAGCCCAGGGCCCCGCTGAGACGCAGGTGTCTGGACTTCAAGTTACATATTAAACCTGGGTTCCACCAAGGCTCCTGGCCCATACCCAGCAGGAACCGCCCCCGGTGGCTCCCAGCCCCCACCCTCCTGGCCCTCGCATACCTGGCATCTTTGTTGCCCCCTCGCCACCTCCCTGTGCTCCATGCAGTAGCCACAGTGCCCACGGGGACAAATCTTTCCCTCGGGAGCGGCAGCCCCGCACCCCACTGCAACACATCCCTCGGGAGGGGGATGTCACAGACCTCAGCCGTACCCAGGAAGGGCCAGTCAGGCCTGAGGGGTAGAAGCAGGGTTAGGGGCTCCCCCACCCGCTCATACCGTGTCCACCCCACTCACCGGCCAGCAGCACGATTAGATAGCAGAAGGCAGTCAGGCGGAGCAGCCAGGAGAGCCGGGAAGCCATGGTTGAGGGTGGCGGGAGTCCAGGCGGGAGTCCAGGTGAGGCAGGGGGTCCAGGCGGGGGTCCAGGTGAGGCGGGACAGGCGGCCAGGAGGGCTTCGGAGCTCCCTGCTATCCTCCCGCGACTTCCAGCGCTCTGGCTTCTTTTAAGGAGCAGGCTCAGAGCCTCGCCTCTGCCTCCGCCTCCCAGCCCCCCTGCAGGCAGGCGGGTGGGAGGGGAAAGTCAGGGAGCCTGTCGATGGATAAGATTCCTCAGGATGTTGCTAAGGAACCAAAGGCTCAGCTGTGGGGCAGGGAGGGGGGTGCGCGGTGGGCTGGCCTGTGGCGGGGCTACAGGTCTGGCTGCTCAGGACGGCTCCTCAAACCAGGACCTGCCTGGGGAGGCTGGACCAGGGCTGCCAGCGTTCCAAGGGCCTCCTCTCTTCCCACCTACCCAGTCACCTACCTGCTGGGAGCTGGCACAGGCCCTTGGGTCTGGCTGGGGGCCCTAGCTCGTCAGTCAGCATAAACAAAGGACCGAGGGGCTGAGGAGCAACGGCGGGGGCGGGGGACCCGGGGCCCTGTCGGTCTGGGTCTGACACGCTCTCCTCTGGTCTCGGGGGTTTCTCCCCCACACCATGAAGGAGCTCCAGCCTTCACCTTTTGAAGCCTCATCCTGGGGGAACTCGGTCATCAGCAGATCCCCCGAGAGGGGTCTGGAGCCTAGTGAACAGGGGCTTGGCACAGTAAACGTCTTAGGGACAAATGGGGAAACTGAGGCCCAGAGAGGGGGCAGAGTCACCCCAGGACATAGAAAACATCAAGGTGGGAAAGTGCCACAGGGAAGACAACACGGCACGAGCAGGGGGTGGGCAGCTCAGGTTACAGAAAGGGCCCGATGCCCAGCCTCCAGCCCCTACCTGGCCTTGGTCTTTTCCACCAACTCCCATCTGCGGCTCTGGCCCCTGCGGACAGCACCATCACCAACCTCCCTCAGGCAGCTGGGTGCCCCTCCTCTACTCTGCAGTGCGTCCTGGGGCCCCTGGTCTCCGTCTGTACGAGGAGGGAACCGGGTCAGCCCACCAGGGTGGGAGCGGCACAGCTCTGCCTGGCCAGGACAGCAGGACCAGACCTGACCGGCTAGCCGCTCCTCTCAGACCTCCATGAATGCCTGCAGGTGTTGGCAGCAACGAAGTCACTTTATTAGCCTCTTCCCGTAAAGCCGTGGCCCAGCCTGGGGCCAGGGGTAACTGTGAACTCGCTCTGTCTAACTGTTTCTGGGCTGCCAGCCACAGAGAAACCAGTTTGTCTATGAGTCACAGTCCCAGGCTGTGGGGCCATCTCCCAAGACCAGGGGACTGGTCTCGCAAGCACCGCCAGGCTGCCTGTGGCGAGCGGCTCCGAGCCTGGACTTTGCTTGGCAGGGAAGGCCGGCCCCAGCATGGGCCAGCGTCTACTGTTGTCAGTGCTTTGCATGATTAATCACATAATCATAGTGACAACCCCCGGGTGTAAGCCACATACCACTGCCGTGGCCCGTTTAATGGATGGGGAAACTGAGGCATGCAGAAGTTAAGGAATTTTCTGAAGATCGCCAGCCAGGAAGCAAGGGAGCCTGGATTTGCCCCAGTCATTCAGCTCTAGGGTCTGAGCTCAGGACCACCAAGCTACTCCAGCTCCCTCCACCCCGGCTTTGAAGACGGCTATGAGGATTGAGTTTACTGTCCGTAAGAGCCTAAGAACCCGGCAGGAAACAGCTGCCAAAACACAGAGTCTGGCACTGCTTTTCTTTGCTCAGCCCTTGGTGATATCCTCTGCCCTATTCTGGCCCAGTTCCCCACCCCCCTTCCCCAAAATTGGCATGGTCTCCTCACCTGCCTCATTAGGGTGATAAAGACTAACTGTTCAGACTCAGTTAGGACACAGGAGCCTGGCTTTCAGGTTCACCAGACCTGGTGACAAATGAGACTCCACCCACCTAGGAGGGGTATCGCCTTGGGCAAGTGACTACCTCTTGGGGCCTCAGCTTCCCCCTCTGTAAAATGGGATGCCAATAGCCACCTCCCAAGTCAGCCACTGGGGGAGTTAATAAAACTAAAATTGTCACCGCCTGGCATGCACGAGCTACCAGTGTCTGTTACTGAGCCCTGCTGTGTGCCTGGTGCTCTGTGGGGACAGGGGACCCAAAGGTAAATCCATAAGCCTAGTTCTTACTCCAAGGAGCCCCCGGTCAGCAGAAAGTGCAAGTCCTGGGGAAAGGAGAGAAGCCTTCTGTCTTATCAAAGCACCGAAGAAGGCCGAGTGAGGGAGGCAATGTTTCACTCAGAAGATGGGCGGAGGGTTGCTTTGTTTCTTTCATATGGTCATTGCGAAAAATTTTAAACATAAAGAAGAAATGGGACCAAGTGTGTTCATATCTCTACCGCCTACCTTCAATGATTAGCATTTTTCCCTATGTACTTCATCTTTTCTTTTTTTTTTGTTAAGCCATTTAAAGTAACTTACAGATATTTTGCCCTGAAATACACCAGCATGCAGCTCCATAGCGTCAAGATACTGTCTTTTATTAATATAACGCTATTATCCTACCTAAAAATTAATAATAATTCCTACATGTCATGTAGTATTCAATTAATATTAGATTTCTTTAATTGTCCCCCCAAAATGCATTTTATATTTTCTTCTCCCTTTCTCTTTTCTCTTTTCCCTCCTCCCTCCCTCCCCCCTGTATCTCTTTCCTTCTTCAGTTTTTTGAACCAGGACCCAGTCTAGGTTCATGCATGGTATATGGTTATTTCTTTTTAGTCTACAACAGATTCCCCACCAACATAGTCAAGACTATTCTTACATACTGTTCTCATTCTTAATTCTCATTCATTGTTCCAGTGCTGGTGTCATCTATTTTGTGCCCTTACCCTACGTATTTCCTGGAACCGGGGAGTTAGATCTACGGTTTAGATTAGATCCCAGACATGTGCTTGGCAAGAGTTTCTCTGATGATAATGTCATCTAATCTGTTCCTCTATCCTTTGTGATTCCTGTCACCTGGGGTTAAATCTGCAGTTTTGATTAGATCCCAACCACAGCCTTGGCAAGAGTTCCTTACCTCAGCCACAAGGCAGGCTGATTATTCCTCTAACAGAGCTCGCTGTTGGGGAAGTTTGTGATTTTACAACTAACCTGCAATACACAGCAGGGAGGCATTCTCACAGACCATTCCAGGCCGAGGGAAAAAAACTAACAAAAGCAGGAAGCGCTAGGCCCAGGCAGGGGATGGGGAGTGGTCCGATGCCATCGGCTCCGAGGAAGGGGTGGGCAGCGGAGGCTGCAGTGGGACACTTGGAAGCCGGGGGCGAAGGATGAGAATGCTGTTCAGGGGGCAAAGAGAAGCAGAGGAATAAATAGAGCCGCGTGCGCGATTAAGCCGTGGAGCAGCAGCCGGGCAGTAGGAAAGAGTTTCTTTAGGGTTCAGTGGGGTGGAGGTGACTGGGATATCCCTGGCCACACTTTCCTGGGGGCCCCACAGAGCAGACAGCCTGCACCGGTCTTGTGGGACCTGAGGTACTTCCCCTGACCCTGGAGGCAAAACAGAAACAGCTGTGGGGGGCAGGGCAGGGAGCCAGGGCGCTCCTGTGGGGACCCGGGATGGTCGGAAGGACAAGTTGGCCAGTGAGGTGCCACTTCCAGGACCCTTGGGGGACACCTTTGCCTAGGTTTTCCCTGCCCCACCCAGCTCTGCTCAGCTCACACCTGTGGCCAATAAAGAGGGTCGTCCACATGCACTTGATATATCTGCGCACACACCCTCTTTTACGGTGGTGAAATACCATTTTAACCATTTCCAAGATTACTGTTCACCTTGTTGTGCAACCATCACCACATCCATGTCTAGAACTTTCTGATATTGCAAAACTGAAATTCAGGACCCATTGAATAACTCCCGTTCCCTCCTCCCCAAACCCCTGGAAATCACCATTCTACTCTTTGTCCCTGCGAGTCCAACAACTCTAGGAATCTCACAGCGTCTGTCCTTTTGTGGCGGCCTTATTTCACTCATCATAATGTCTCCAAGGTCCTCCATGCTGTAGCCAGTGCTGGAATGTCCTTCCCTGTTAAAGCTGAGCGCTGTCGTGCAGACCGCATCTTGCTTATTCGTTCACCCATCGATGATGGATGCTTGGGTTGTTTCTACCTTTGGGCTCTTTGTGGGGGATGCTGTACTCAACGCGGGTGTGCAAATAATGTGTTTGAGTCCCAGCTTTCAATTCTTTTGTGTATACTCCCAGAAGTGGAATTACTGGATCAGACAGTGATACTACGTTTAATTTTTTGAGGAACCACTATGCTGTTTTCCATGGCAACTGCAGCATTTTACGTTCCCACCACCAATCACAAGGGTTCCAATTTCTCCACACCCTCACCAACCTTGTTTTTTATATATATGTATTTTTATATATAAATAAAAGTATATATTTATATATAAATAAACATACAAATATATGTATATACAATGCCCACTCTCTATATACACATGTATAAATATATATTTATATATAATATAAATACATGTATTTATAAATATATTATAATATACTTATATAATATATGTATTATATAGTATTATCTAATAATACTATATTAATAATAATATATGTATTATATAGTATTATTATATAATATATAGTATTATATAATGATACTATATAACATGTAAAATATATTTTTATAATACATTTATATATGTGTGTCTATATATAATGCCCACCCTATATTGCTTTGTACTCCCAGCCAGCGAGAGTCCCTAGTCTGCCTGAATCCATGACGCGTCCCTTCCCAATGCCTCTCCCGGCCCCAAGGGAGCAGGAGTCCTCTTTGCTGTTTTGGTAGAGTGAGCTGTGTCCAGGGACTCCAAGAGAACAGGCCCGTGTGTGGCCCAGGAGAGCTCAGCACCAGATGAACTAGGTGCTCCCCAAACCAACTGCCTTTACTTTCTGGACATGTGGCTTGGCTATACCTCCCAGCATCCTTTTCGGCCAGGGAGTGGCCATGTGACTGAGTTCCACCAATGGCACGCGAGCAGAAGTGAAGAGCCCCTCTTCCTGGCCTGGTTCATATAGCCCTGCCCCCACTAGCCTCTGTTCCCTGACCGCATCTGCTGCATGATGGGGAGAAGCCCAGGCCCTAGAGGAGCCCAGGTCCCTGAATGACCACGTGGAAGGTTGCCCACGGGCCAGGAATGCCTGATTCGACTTCACGTGAGAAGAAGAAAACGTCTGTGGAGTTGAGCCACTGAGATTTTGTTTGCATAAAGGAGACTTTCCTGACTAGTGCACACTCCCCCTCCTTCGTGCCTGCCCTTGAAGGGGGAAGGTTGAGGCTGGATTGTTGAATGAACGAGTGAATGAATGAATATGCTCCTTAGAGCTCCAGGCCTGGGCACTGAATGACAGATTTTATCAGACCCCCCTGACCAGTGGTCCCAGGGTGCGCCAGGCCTGGTGGACCAATGTCTGGGCTTCCCTCTTGGGACCTGAGCAGTTCCTTCCCAGGTCCTCGTGTCCAGCCCTGGCTCCCCACGCCCTCATAAGGTGACTTACCTTGGGCAAGCCAGCTCACATGTCAATGTCAAGGGCTTTGCCCCTGGGGAGAGGGGTCGGGTGCCCCTTATCCCACCTCACAAGGACAGCAAATAGCCAGGAACAAGCGGACACTGTTGTTGAGGATTTATTTTCTAGAAGGTCTGAGGGGCAGGGGAAGGACAGGAAGGGAGGGGGGACCTAGGACTTTGGATGGCTCTGTATCGGGGCAGCAGTCAGGCTAACACTTCCGGCGCCTGTCGGGGGCAGAAGACCCAGGGCTGGGCTCCGGCGGGGGCGGGGGGCACACAGGCCCTGGAAGACGCTGAGTTTTATGACCGGTGCTTTGGCCCTGAGCCCTACTGCAACCCTGCAAAGTGGGTGTTCTTGTTCGAGGGTGAGGCTCAGAGAGGCGAGGCGGTCCCCACAGGGTCCCACAGCCACAGACACCCCGCTGAGCTGCACCCAGCTCCCTTGGAAAGGGTCTAGCACGCGCAAAACTTATTTCCTTCGCCTGGGGAAGCTACTGTCCCCATGGAAGGGCAATTAAGTCTCAAGTCCCAGGCCTTAGCCTGGGCCCAATCACCTGAGGACGACCTCCACCCAAGGCTCTTTCCCACATGCTTCTCCCAGCGCCAGGAAAGCTCTGCCTTGTCCTGTTCCCACGCAGCTCCTAAAATTCTCCCAATCATCCATCTGGCCTCGTAAGCATTTGCCGCCTTTTCATGCACAAATATAACTAAAGTTTGTAATACCAAGCCAAGGGGAGTCATTCACACCATAGCAGGAATTCAGTTACCAGCTAAATGGGGAGAGGAAGGGAAAGTGGGGGACTCTACAAAGGTCAGGCCTGGGATTTGGAGATTGCAGGGGCAGTAAAAATCTGAGGGAAACAGTAAGGGTAAAGAGGCTCAACGCGGTGAAGTGGGGGAGAAAGGTGAGTCTGGGCAAATCAGAAGCTTTACCATTGACCGAGCTGGCTCCTCCCTGGCTGGCCTGGGGTCTCTGCTATGATGTGTGAGGACCGTTAGGGGTGGGAGACGGACATTGTTTTTATGGAGTCTGTCTGCGGCCATCTGCCAAGCCCAGATTCCGGGCCAGGCCCTGGGCTCTGTCCTGGAGGCCAGGAGACAGAAGGGACTCAGGTGCGGATCTTGTTCCAGCCAGTGAGGTGGGAGGACAAGCCTCCAAGTCCTAGAAATGCTGGGCGGATTGTAATCAGGGCTGCTAGGAAGGGGCGGAGGGTCAGCAGAAGTCTAAAAAACAAAACTCAATTACTTAGGATTTGGGGGCAGAAAGTGACAGACATTGATTCTGCCCACCTAAGCGTAAAAGGGAAAAAAATATTTAAATTAAAAATACTAAAAAATAAACCTCAGCTACTGGCAGCTTAGTCTGAGCAACGCCTTGGAGGGCTGGGGGATCGGGCACGTGCGGGCGAGGATGGGGAGGCACCGTGGGTGTCCGGAGCGCACAGGCAAGGACCCAGGAGTAGGAAGTACAGCGCGGGTGTTGGCACCCAATGTGCACGAAGGGAAATGAGGCGGGGCCAGAGACAGAGGTGGGACCAGAGGCGGACGGCAGGGGCACCAGACTCAGGAGCCCCGATCCCAGCCACGGGCAATAGGGAGCCATGGAAGGGTCTTGAGCAGGGGAGTAACTGACTAGAACTGTGGGTCCTCTGGCTACAGGGAGGCAGAGGATGGGTTGGAGGAGGAAGAGGGGAGGTGACAGTGGCAGCGTGGAGGGTGACAGCTGCAAGGATGGAGATCAGGGAGCGCAGAGTCGTTGGCGGGGAGCGGCGGCCATGGCAGGCAGGCAGGGCTCCGGGAGCCTTTCTGGAGGAGCCAAGGCCACGGTCGTCAGGGCCAGGCCCTTCCTCATCACTTCAGCCTCCGGAGAATCCTCTTCACCCAGGGCAGCCTGGGATCAGCGCAGATCTCCCGGTCCCTGACGGTCAGAAAGCTGGAGGGAGGAGACGCCAGGGAGACCGTAAGACGGGAGGCTGCCACATCCCACCCAGAAAGCTTGGCATTTATGAGTCGCCTGCTGTGTGTGGAGATGCCTTCTCTATAGAGTGGCTTAGCATTTGTGAGCCACCTGCTGTATGCAAACACATCTCTTAGGGAGGAGAGGGGGAGATGGGCAGCAGAACTCCCAGCCCCTCAGCCCCACAGCCTCAGCCTTGAGTGCCAGGTCTGGCCAGGGAGTGCGACGGCCCCAGAGTCTCACAGCCATTGCTGGCCTGGCCTTGGGGAGAGAGCATCAGGTAGTGGCCAAGGGCATGAACGTCAGAGCCAGCCTGTCAGGGTTCAAAGGCTAGCTCTTCCACTTGTTAGCAAGTCCTTTTACTTCTCCGAGCCTCCGCTTCCATATCTGTATAATAGGGATGGTCCCACCTCACAGGATTTTGATGACATTTGCTGAGTTAATATACACTGAAGAGCAGAGAGGACTATGTAATTGTGCCAGGAGCTCGCCTGAACCCTTAACATTAATTTTTTACATAAACCCTCACAGCAACCCTATGAGGTCTGATTATTCCACCCATTTCATAGCCAAGAGACGTGAGGCAAAGCCACGTGCCCGAGTGCCAGAGCTGGTAAGATCAGACTCACCGGGCTCGCGGTGAACTGGACTCTCGGGGGCCAGCGTCTTTGTGGTGTCCCCACCCAAGCCGTTCTGAGAGGCCTGAAGCACAGAGAAGTGCACCTGGGCCCAACATCACACAGCAACTGTGGGCAAAGGCCCCTGCCCTTGCCCAAACTGTAGCAAACACCAAGCTGGGCCCTTGGGCCCCTCTGCCCCCACCCTTGGTGGTAGGACAACTTCCAGCCTAGGACTCCCTTCCCGCCTTTCAAGAAAGAGCCTGTTCTGGGGCCTAGCAGCTCCTAGCTCCCCTTACGTCCCTGACTGGCCCTGCCCCACAGGGCACCAATGAACAGAAAGCAAACGAAGTGTGCAAGGCTGACCGTCGCCTTGTGGGCAACCTGCCCTGCCGCTGTGTAACACTGGATAAAGCTCAGCCCCCCACCTCCCCATTTGTAAAGACATGTTCTTTCTAGAACCCCTTCCAGCTCCAAGTCCAGCAATCACACGTGTGCCATCTTTTACTGAGCCTCCAGTACCTGCCAGGCGCTGTACTTTCCACCTAGTATTCCTGTGCCCTGAGATGCCCGAGAGGCGTTATAACTTCTCCGAGCCCATTTCCTCACCTGTCAAAAGGAGTCACAACTGTACCTGCTACATAAGGTTGTCTCAAGGATTAAATGAGTTACATTTATAAAGGGTTTATAACAGTGCCTAGCATTCAGCAAGCACTCTCAATACATTTGATAAATAAAAATAAACAAAGGTGATCATTTGGGGATCGTGATGGGCAGGGGAGGCTCAGAGTTGAAGTGGCAAGAACCCTACAGGGTTTCCTGCCTCAGCCTTCTTTGTTATTCACCTGCAGACCCCTCCGAAGGACGAAGGTGAGTGAGGAAGAGGAGGAGGATGAGAAGATGATGGAGCCCCAAAGACGTCATGAGAAGATATCGTGAGTCCCCAAGCCCAACTCCGCCCGCCCACCCCCCACCGCCCTCGTGTGTGGCTTGGCAGCAGGTTCGGAGAAGCCAGGGCAGCAGCTGGAGAGGCTGCCCCGGAAAGGACAGGCAAAGCGGGGAGAGGAAATGGAGAAACTGAGAGAAAGAAGCAAAGGAGTCCCGGTTCCAGCCCGGTTCCAGCCCGGGCCACGCGGAGCACATCTCCTCCCCTCCCGGAGCCTGTTTCTCCATCTATAAGATGGGCGTAACCGAACCTCCTGCGAGGGTTGCTGTGAGGGTCAGGTGACTCAGTACAGTCATGCTCCAAACAGTGCCTGGCCCAGATCAAACTCTCTGCGTGTGTGAGCTCTTAATACTCTTCTTCTGGAAAGAACGGCTGCCTTGGGCAACTCCTGGGACGTTTGGGAGGATCCAAGATGCTTCTAATGGGAGCACCTTTGTTACAGGCCCCCCAGCGCCGGGCACGCTGCCTGTACCCTGTGCCCATCCCCTGTAGCTCTGTACCGCCGACGCCACCACGTCCGCAAGGGCGCACCTGTCCACTCCTCTCTGCATCCTCAGAACTTGGCGGGCTGCCTGCCACACCGTAGGCACCCCCTAATATTTCTTGAACAATCACATGACATTCTTTCCAGGTGTACCCAAGCCCGGGCTATGCCATCTATTGCAGGCAAGCCCTTCCACTGGCACCTGGAAGCCCAGCTCTATTTACCCAGCTGCGACACCTGGGCTTTCCAGGGCTACACCTGGAAGCTCTCTGAGGCCCTGCCTCCCCAGCGCCCCACTCACATCACGCCAGGCCTCCGGCAGGAGTTCGAAGTCAAGTAGTAATACTTCACAGCACGCAGGGGCATGGGGTAACGGGTGTAGCCCGGGCAGCAGACGCTGTCCTCCACGTTGGCTCCGTAAGGGCCTGTGAGAGAGAAGTGCTCAGAGGCGCCGCAGGCTGGACACAGGGCCCCGCCCTTTGACCCAGGTTTTCTGTTCTCACGTGGAAGGTCGGTGTCTAGAGGATTCTGGGCTCTCAATGTCCCCAATCTTGGACCTCTGAGAAACCACTAAGGGCCCAATGTCATTACTCTGGATCTGTCTTGTCAAAGGTGAAGGTCAAAGGTAGGGCATCCAAGATGCCCTCCAATTCTAGTTGGGTCCCAGAGCCGCTGAACAGGGAGGAGCCCTAGAACTTTGCCCTTTAGGGAGGCGCATGCCGGCACCATCAGCACCACCCAGGAGCTCGTCAGAAGTGCTGGGCCCCCAGCCCCGGCCCCGCGGAAGCAGACGGGCCGTCGATGCAGCCCCAGCAATTCAGAAGCCTGCTTCAGTTCACGTTCACTTTAACTCCCTTCGTGGAGCGAACGGCGAGGCTGGGATCCGGGGAGGGGGATCCAGGGTGCCCACAGCCACGGGGCACGACTCTGGAGAGTCAGGACAAGGGCTCGGGCAGAGTCCAATCACAAAGCCTGGCGTTCGGGCCCCAGCGGGCCACTGAAGGGAAGGCCCGACTTCTCCCTCTGACCGAAGGGGCAATAATGGCACTGACTCTATGGAGCCTTCAATGCAGGGAAAGCACTCAGGAACCCCCATCGCTGGGCGATTATTGCTCCTGGCTGCCCGACTCCCGGCCCGGCGCCCCGCCCTCCCAACCCGGCAAAGGGCGGGAGCGTTTGTGTTGGCATGGAGAAAACAAGTCAGGACCCTAGCCTTGGGGGCGTGTTCTGAAGCAAAAACAGGGTGGTGGGAGGGCAGGACCGGCTCTCCAAGGGAGCACCCCTTGCCCCAGGCCCTGTCTGCTGCCCTGGCTGCCGCTGCTTCTCCATCCGCCAAGGGTCCTATGCTCCAGTTCTCTGGAATAGAGGACCCCCAGCCATGCCTAACACAACCCCCAATCAGCTGAGACAGACCTTAGACTTAAGGCTTCAAGACTACCCATTTAACAGATGTATAAGCGGAGGCCCAGAGAAGCAATGGGACTCGCTCAGGAGCCAGCGGCAGATTGGGGTATCAGCCCTGGGGCCAGTGTGCTTTCCCCTGCATGAGAAAGATGCCCCAGGGTGCGACCCTGGCTCCTGCACAGAGCCCGCCCTCTCCCCAGCCTCACCTGCCTCGGTCGCTTGAAGCACCATCGCCAGAAGGATCAGGATAGCCAGGAGCGCGGTCCGCAGGCTAGCCATGGCCCTGCCCAGTGAGTCCCAGCCCAGGTGTCTATTATCGCCGGAAGACACCAAGGTCTGATATTTAAGCGTTGCTACACCCACAAGCCTCAAAAGCTCTTAGTCATTGGTGAGCAAATTCTGACACTCGCATTGTGAAAGGAGAACTCCCGCTTCCTCCATATTGAAGGAAATTTTCTGTGGCTGCAACCAGCAGAGGGGTCCCCAACCCTCCTCCCCTCTGAGTCTCAAGGGACTCGCAAAATCCCCCTTGAGCTGGGCCCCTTGGAGGCCCGCGCTCCCAAGGTCTGCTCGCATGTGTCCGTGTCACTGGGTGTCTCTGGGAATGGGGATGATGGTTTCATGGCCCTACCTGTTTGCTTTGGTGTTTGTTAGCAAATCAGGAGAGAATATGGATGGGAGCTAAACAGCTCCAAACCCTTGGCTGGGACTGAGACCCGCCTGGTGCCCTTGGCGGTCATGGTTGATCCCTGGTCCCAGGGAGAGGCCTGTGGGTGCATTTTTTTGCTTTCTCTGCCGCATCACCGGCCTCTTCCGAGGCTTCTCACAAAGCCCCGACTTGGGCCAGTTCACAGTCCACTGAACAGTTGCAAGGAACTTGCACACGCATTTCGGTCTTGCCTGTCTCCACTGCCCGCCAGCTGCTGCTGAGCTCGTCCTCGCCTGCTCCTCTTCAGTCTCTCTCCCACCATGTCCCAGGGATTCTGCTTCCCAACTCTCTCTCTCAAGCCTGCCCTCTTCTCCCCACCCCCGTTGTCCCTGAGAGTCCGGGCCACCTCCATCTCAGGCTCAGACGCTGGCCCCTCAGCCCCTCCCTCTGGGGCAGCAGCCAGAGCGAGCAGCCCGGATTCCGAGCGGAATGTGTCTCTCTCGAGCTTCAAAGCCCTGCTGCAGATCCGCGACGACCTGAGGGCCAAGCCAAAGCTCCTGCCCGTGGCCTTCAAGGCGTCCTTTCCACACATGTTTCCACCCCCGCCACTCCTCACAGTTCCTCTAAGCGGTCTGTGGCCTGTCCCAGGCTTTGAATGCCCTTTCTACTTCTTTACCTCATAAACTCCTACTTGTGCGTCCACAGCCATGTGAAATGTCACATTCTAGGGAGGCCCGCCCGCTCGGGACTTGAGAGGTCTTTGGGTGACCGAGAATGTGGACCTGAGAAGGCGGTCAGGTTTCCCCATCCTCAGGACCTTCCCCAGGAGCTGACCTCCAAGTTCTGGGAAGGCCGGTGTCCCCTGTTCTTTGCCTTGGCATTCCCGGTGTCCACCAAGAGCGGGGTACAGGGTGGGTGCTCAGGAGACATCGAGCGAAGGAGGACACCGAAGCTCAGAGAAAGAAGGGACTTGCCCAACGTCTCAGAGCCAGGGAGCAGCTAAGCCAGGCCTGGAATTCAGCACCCCACACTCCATCTGTAGAAGGACCCCCTCATTCATTTATCACTTGTTCAAGAAATAATTATGGAGTCCCTACCTAGACAGAAGAGTGCCCCCACCCAACATAAAAGATGCCCACTTTCTAATTCCCCAAACCTGTGACTATGTGACCTTACATTTGAAAAGCGTAGATTCTAATTTATAGGTGGTCTGAATGGCCCAGGTAATCACGGGGTCGTGGAGAGGACCGCGGTGAGTCCAGCTCAGACAGGAGCCAGGATGACGGAAGCAGGGCTCCCAGCGACAGACGCGAGGCTGACTGTGAGCCCCAGAGGCTACAGGCCTCTGGAAACTGCAAAAGGAGAGGAAACAGCTCCTTCCCCAGGAGCTCCCGCGAGGAGCACAGCCCTGCTCACCCTCCGTTGTGGCCCCCGGAGACGGCCTTCGGGCTTCTGACCTCCTGGCCCATAAGCTAATACATTTGTGTTCTTTTAAAGCCACTAAGTTTGTGGTCATTCATTAGAGCAGCACGAGGAAACTAAGTCAAGCCCCTGCCACATGCCAGGGTCGCTGCCACGACCTAGGGTCACAGCAGTGAACAGGTCCCTGCTCCCACGGTGTTTACCTTGGAGAAAGACAATGCACAGGCAAACCAAGACCAAACGTGGTTATGGCAGGTTGTGGTGAGTGCCGGGAAGAAGATGAAACAGGGAAGGTGTTGTGGGTGTCCAGAAAAGCATCTGTGGGGGGTGAGGGGCACTGAACCGAAATCCAGAGGGAACTGAGGAGTCTGCCAGGGAGGAAAGGGCACAGGCAAAGGCCCTGGCAGGGGAGAGGGCTGAGCGGCTGGGGTGGGGGAGCAGCGAGGGCGGCAGCCCGGGGCGAGAGGTGGGCGGGCAGCAGCGAGCTTTCCTGGCTTGTGCAGGAGTACGCGGCATCCGCTGGGAAGACTTGTGGTCAAAGGTGTTACCCAAAGCCAGTCACAACAGGACCAACGTGGCATGAGCCTGTGTCCCCGAGGTTCCTGGAGTAACCAAATTCACGGAGACAGAAGGCAGAATGGCGGTTGCCAAGGCTGGAGGGTGGAAGGAACGGGCAGCTATTATGGGATGGATACAGAGTTTCATTCGGGAAGAGGGTCAAGTTCTGAAGGTAGATGGTGGTGACGGCTACACGGGGATATGAGCGGATTTCTCGCCGGGGGACTGTCCTCTTAAAAATGGCATGTTTTGTTACGGGTATTTTCCCAATAAAAAAGAAAACAAAAGCAAATGAGAAGATGCTCCCATCATCTGTCATCAGGGAAAGGCAAATGAAAACAGCAAGGAGCTACCGCTGGCCACACACCTGTGGGAAGGGCCGGGATCCGGAACGCGGACGCGCCGCGTGTGGGCAAGGGCGTGGAGCGCGGAGCTCCCATTGGCGCGCGGCCCGAAGGCAAACAGGCGCAGCCACTTTAGAAGTCAGTTTGGAGGTTGATTGCAAAATAAACATATGCTTCCCATACAATGCAGAGATCATATTCCAAAGGAGGTGAACACTTATGTCCACACAAAAACCTACGTGGTGGCAGTTTTATTCAGAACTGTCAAAACTTAAAAGCAACCCAGATATCCTTCAGGAAGCAACTAGAGAAATAAATGGCGGTACACTCAGATAATGGAATTATTGTTTAATGGGGAACTTTAGTGTGTACTGGTAAATGAAAGAAGCCAATCTGAAAAGGCTACATATCTTAGGATTCCAACTGACAATCTGGAGAAGGTGAAACTATGGAGACAGCAAAAAGAACACAGTCGCCAGGGACCGGGGGTGGAGGGCGGGGGGTGCACAAGCGCAGCAGAGAGGATTTTTAAGGCAGTGAAACTCGTCTGTTCGATACCATAGTGATGACTACAACACACACAGCCCCAAGGGTGACCCTAATGGACTGCCCAGGAGGGTGAAGTGTCCTGTAGGTTCCCTGATTGAAATGCATGCGCCCCTCTGGTGGGGGCTGTTGGTCTGGGAGCCCCCCACCCCCGCGCATCTGCGGGGGCAGGGAGTATACAGGAAACTTCAGTACCTTCCCCTCAATTTTGCTGGGAACCTAAAACTGCTCTCAAAAAAAAAAAGTCTTTAAAAAAAGAAAAGAAAAGGTGTTACCCAGAATCCAACCACGTCTCTAGCTCTAACCTTTAGTTTGTAAGAAATGCAGAGGGTAGAAGAAGAAGGTGAATGACCCTGCAAGAAAACAAGCAGACAGTTCTAGAAGGAGGGATCTTCCTGACCTTCTACAAGACAACCGTGCCAGGAGCAACAGTCAAGGTGGTTTAAACCAGAAGTAGAACATTTAAGTTGAATGAAAAGAATGTAGGAGGCCTAACAGTCAAATCAGTGCAGTGCAGGCACTTTGCTTGAATCCTAGTTTTTGAAAAACAGCAGTAAAAGACCTTTTGGGGACAAGTGGGGAAATTTAAATATTAGGTGATATCAGGACTTTCTCGTTGGTTTTCTTAAGTATAATAAAGACTTAGAGAGTATGTAGGAGAATGCCCTTGTTCTTAAGAGATGCACACAAAAGAATTTAAGGATGAAGGTCATGACGCCCTTACCTCTAAAGAGTTCATGTTCAAGGAAATATGTGTGTCTGAGTGTGTGTAGATGTCTGTCTATATAGATATGTGTGCATATGTATATGTATATGTATATGTGTGCATATTATATATAACATGTGTATGCACAGGTATATATGTATATGTTTGTACATATATGTGTACGTATAGGAATATTAATGTCTCAAACAGAGAAAGGGAGAAACAAAACACATATGGAAACATGTAAACAATGTTGCAGGTAGGTAGCAGGTATGCTGGTAGTCACTGAACTACTCTAGCAACATTCCTGAACATTTAAAATGTTTCATAAGGGAAGGGCAGATAAACTGCTTCCCAGATAAGGTCCAGGTAAAGGAGGTCATCATCGCCAAGTCCTTACTATAGGAAATGTGAAAGGGACTTAGGTAAGAAAAAGAAGGTCAAAAACTGAACAGTAAAGTGACAACAAGCTCAAAACTATCAACAACTGAACCTAAAAAATAAAAATGAAGCAAACAACTAGAACAGGAACAGAATCACAGAAATGGAGATCACGTGGAGGGTTATCAGTGGGGAGGGCGAGGGAGAGAATGAGAATGGGGGGAAAAGGTGCAGGGAATAAGAAGTATAACTGGTAGGCACGAAGTAGGCAGGGGGAGGTTAAGAACAGTATAGGAAGTGGAGAAGCCGAAGAACTTACAAGGGGGGCTGCAAAGGGGGGTGCAGGGAGGAGGGGGGACAGGGGGGAAAACTGGGACAACTGTAATAGCATAATCAATAAAATATTTTTAAAATAACGTGTTTCATAATAAAAACATGGGGGGAGAGAAAAAAATATTTTTAAATGTGGAAGTCATTTTTGAAAAATGGGCTGTGCTTGGAGGACTGCGAGGGACGGCGAATTGGTCTGGCGGTTCTTCATCTGAAATGGGGGTTTTCTCACATGGGGCCCTCCAGGACCATGGCCCTTCCCAGGGGTGGCCTCAGGGGCTCCCCCCTGGAGAGCACCTGTGTCCCCAGGGACTTGCAGGGCCCTACACCCTTAGCGATGGCT